CGAGTCGTGCAGGAACGACATAATCTTCTAGTTAAAATACTCGGCGAGCATATGCGCGATTATAAAGTTAATTTTGTTAAATTTTTTTTTATTCAAAAGAAGAAAACATTTCGTAGGTCGGATCAAAACGCAATTTTCAAAATTATAATTGAAGAACCTAAAATATGCATTTCAATAATGCACAATATTTGCTTTTTTTCAAATGTAATTTTCCAGCACTGTTCAAAGTAAAATGAAAATTCGGGCTTTGATCCGACCTGCAAAATGTTCTCATATTTCAGAAAAAAAAAATTTTGTCAAAATCCGACAAATAACTGTGGCGTAAGAGTTTTTCTCGTAAAAGCATTTTTGTTCATCCTAAACAGTGCTTCGAAAAATAGTGACCAAAGTCGATCACTGACCTGTGCGTGCGCGTGCGTAAATATCCTTATCTGTGCGTTTGTCAACGAACACAACCAGTATAAATTGCGTATCGCAGTTCCCGATAAAATTAAAAATAATTTGCTATTGACGATACGGTGTTGTATATTATATTCGGAATAAGAACAAGCTTCGGCGGCTGTTGTATTTTTCCGTACGACTGTATCAGACCCCGGTATCATCAGTCGTCACTCGCGCACCATATCACATACGTTGGTCAGTCCGCGCTTTTGAAAACCAATTTATTTAAAAAAAATAGTAACCGTTTATCAGTTACAAATTATAACAGCCGTCCATTATATATTTCTATATATTATTATTATCGTAAAAATGTATCTAAATAAAATATAAACTAGTATATGATAATAATTCACGACTAATAATTACAATAATAATAGTTTAAAAAATTTCTATTTATTTTAAAATTGTAGGATTTATAATTTCTTGTAATAACACTTATAAAACTCGACCAATTGTGTTTCCATTTTATCCTTCCAGAAGTCGTCATCATGCATCATTATTTCTACAAACATATCTAAAAACAAAAACCATACTTAAACTGTGAATTAAAAAAAGAGCATTTGGTCATAATATATTACTGTTTATTACCTTTTGGAGTCCAAACTACAAAATAACACGAGCATTTATTGGCTACTCTTAATTGTCCCTGAACCTGGTAATAATAATTATGGTTTTTGTCCAACTGCAAATCACCATTATTTTTTATTTTTAAAAATTTGATTTTTTTAGCCACATTTCCTTGTTGTGGTATCGTATCTTTACTAATACGTGGGCATTTTATTTCAATAATTTTATTTTTTCCCACCAATCCATTTGGAGAACCAGCTAAAAAATTATATTGCTCGTCAACAAATAAACCAGCTGGTAAAACTTTAACATTGAATAAAGATTCAAATGCTTCCTTAGCCATTGGTTCATATTGTATTCCGTATCTATTTGCGTACAAACCAAAATATGTAACAAAACAATTATTATTATATACATATAAATGCATCGTAACATTGCACAGTGGATACACTATCTAATATTCTTACGTCATTGCTGGAGTCCTTGAAGAAAAATTATCTAGAATTCATTTAGAATATGATTCACTAACCACTGTATAGTATATTACTATAGTAGTAGCCGTGTTATATTTTTTATACATGTAGTACTTACCTCATATGTTTCCGTCCTTTTTTCTTTCGATAAGTTGTTATATATTTTTTTTTATTTGAATATTTTTTTTTGTTTTCCATATCTAGTATTATTTGCAACAAAATAAAAAAAAAACACACACAATTCGTCATATAATACGTTATATTGGATTGTAAATAAGAATCGATCGTAGAAAGCAAGAGACTTCATCAATTATTGTGATCTCCAGTTGATAATAATAATAATAATAATAATAATAATAATAAACACAATTCATAACAGTAATTCTATGAAACGATAACGCATGGACTAATAAGACGTATAATATACAAATAGATACACATCCGATAACGCGCAGACAGTGTAATTATCTAATTTTATCTTATAATAGCTCACGCACACTCATATCGATTTACACACTCACATTCATGCACGGTTGGTGCGCTGCCGATACAACATGTGAATTTAATTGCCTAAATTTTACTCCTTAATAAATGACCAGTACCGACCTCCTTAACGTATAATGGAAACATTAAACGAATTGGAGGCTGTGTGTATAATCTACGCGTTATACAAGAGACATGCATATCCAAACGCACTGAAAAGAAAACCATTGGGTTCACCCATTAAACTTAAAAAGGGTCAATGAAGGTCAATTTCAAGTTGAATTGCAACAATAATAATTAAAAATGTAATATACAATAACAGTTATTCAAATAATATTGTTTGTACCTAGTAAATTACGACTATTCATTAAAAATAGTTCAAACATTGAAGTTAATAATAGTTTGATGACAGTAGTCTCCGCGTCGTATGAATGTGAATATTAAATATCACGATCGGATAATTGGCCATGTATCACACTTAAAAGTTGATTATAATATTTTAGTCAGTACCGCTACCGCTACTTGTACTATTTCATATACTAATTTTAATAAAATTCCTACTGTAAACTGTAATAGTCTTATCAGAGCCGACGGAGGAATGTGCGGACTATACAAGGGCTGCAATAGTAGTAGGGGAGGAAATAATGACGATCAGATGATGAATTTATTGGAGATTCTCAAGACCTAAAATTTTGAAACTTTTAATTTTTTTCCGTATTATAAACAATTAACTATTGGAAATATTGAATATTCCAATTGTTCGAAGAGTAATTTCTTAAATTCCCTAAAACATTTTAGTTTTATCGGTGTATATTATTTATATCTGTATTATGAAATTTATTTTATTAATTATACATAAAATCTTTTATAGTAGGCAGTGATGAAAATAGACAAGAAAACGATATAAGCGCTCTTAGGTATTGATGAGGTTATGATGTCCCATCCGCTCCTACAAATTACTATCCCTGATTTTAATTACCAATAAAGCCCTAGGGCAGGAGTCGACAACCTTTTCATAGGAGAGCCATTTGTTTAAACATTTACTAAACCATGATGTTCAGAAATGTTCAAATTAAATTTAGAAAATATAGATCATCCGTCATACTCATTTACTCGTGTAATTATAATTATACTACTTAAATTTTATAAATTATTTTCCTATTCAAATTTACCGTGATTGACACATTAAGTGCCGCTGTCAACACGTGATCGACAACGGTGCCGTTGTCTTAGACGGGTAATCGACAAATTCTATAGAATTATATATTTATCCATATATGGACATCTTTATGGGTTTATTATTAATTCGGTTATCAGAGTCATTCTTCTTATTATTCGTGGTTATTCAGTAAAATGTTTTAATTTGAACGGCATATTTGGATTTTGTATTCGTTTATTTTTAGTGAATTGTTTTCCAAGAAACCGTTAACGAAGATTACCGGTCGTGATGATCGTGTATTTTTGTAGCAAATTACTTGGTTCACGTGCACGGATAAAATGGTTATTAACCTAATATTATATTAAATGTTGTCTAGCTAACTTGTTTATTTGTCTTATTTATAAACGAAAATGAATTTTAATTTCCGATTTATAAACCAGAATTTTTGATAATAATAGTATTTCGTAAAGCGTTTCATGCAGCTACATTTTTCGATGTATATAGTGGTGTTGTTTATTAAAATTTATGATGATAAATTTTAGCTTAAATATTTCAATGTTTTAAACGCTTTTTTTTTTTATTATATTAATCATTCTTCAAATCATAAATAATAGTGAAAATGGACTGTACAAATTACGGTTTTGCACTGGTGGCCGACGTTGTGCGCGGTCTAGTTCAGGGCGGCTCACGGGCTACACATGTCGATTACACCAATAAGACATTCGACGTGTTAAAATAATTACAAATGTTCATTGGACCTGAATATTTATTTAATTTATGCGAAATCCTTACTTTTTTGCGCAAATAATTATTAATTGTATTAGGACGACATTCTTATAAATTGGCACATGTCTAGCGCAGAACTGGTTAGGTCCAAATCGAGACAAAATATGAAAGAGAATCGGAATCGCTTACACGTACGTTATCCATCTCATATTTATAAAAATTGCATTGTTTAACGAACGTGCATGTGCTGTGGAGGAGGTTCGAGGGAAATTTTACCGAGTACTCTCGGCTTGTTATTTGTACGAGCCGTCAAGACCTGATGGGTTCTGTAGGACGTGCGTAGTCTACCGTAGTGACCACTTAACAGTGACCAAGGCGATGGTTCCGAACAGTGGCGCATAGAAGTAATTGAACTAAAAAAAGTTACACACCCACCCGCAAATTTTTTTTTTTTTTTTATAAAAACGTTCGTTTAAATTGTTTGTAACAATAATTAACTCTTAAAACTGCTATAAATTTAAGAAATTAAGATGTCTACACTCAGTGCCGTATAGGTATGTTTGTGTTATAATAATAATGTTATTTGCTAGTTATACTCCATAATGTTTGGTATCCAAGTTGAACAATTATATACCCACCAACCCATCCATACACCCACCCCCGACGAGAGCACATGCAATTGCACCCCTTGGTAACCTGTCTGAGCGCCACTGATTCGGAATAAAATAATGAATCGTTAAAGAAAAAAACCGTAATTATAAAACACGGTTCCCGTATTCGACGGGGGAAATGAATTTCTTTTGTAGTATGTTGTCGGCGTACCGTAATAATTGTTTGAATTTCGACCGAACTATACTCGGAATTCGTGTCTCGTGACCGAAATAGTTTTTCTCGCGCTCGAAATCGCGAAATTTCCGTTTTCGGCGTGAACAATCGTTCGTGCACGGGTTGAACGTGCGGGCGCAACGGACCGACGGGGGATGGTCGGCGACGGCCCGCGCGCGCCGAACGTCCAACGTGTTTTATTATTAACCTCGTCGGACCGATTTTCCCCCAACGATCCCCACCTCTGCGGACGACAAACTTCGCCCCGTACTTCGAGAGCCGTCGGCAACGCGCGGCGATCACCACCACGACCACGTCCTCAACGTTAATCGCATAACTGTACCGTCGACCGTCGTGTATGTCGGACGATCACTGTTCGTCGACCGCCCGTCCCGTTTTATTTCGTTTTACGACTGCGTACCCTTACTGAACGTTTGTTTATCAAATATTTAAATACTGCCTCGTCGTTCGACAACCATGGTAAGTCTAGTTTCCGTCAACTTGACGCACGTGCGCGTTGGTGGCGCTCGACGGCACTTTTCACGGCGTTGTTAACGGTTGACTTTCGAAAATCTTCTTTCCTGTACTCTATCGTTGTCTCACGGATTTGCCGTTCGAACACTGCGCGCACCAGACATTTGCTATGCGCGGCCGTATTTTACATTGATATATTGCTGATGAGAGTAAGACAGAAGACTTGTAGCTCTAAAAAAATAAAAAACACTAAATATATAAGCACTCTTTTGCATTTTAAACTCCCATAATATGCTCTAAAAAACATGCCCTTATATTGTTTTTTAAAGTAATATATTTAAAAAATAAATAAATCATTTAAATGATGTGTAACATTAAATCGTTTTTCATGTCTTACTCTAACGTCATAATACTTGCAGTATAGGACTTTACTGTCAGCCAAAAATACTTACAAATTTTGATAATTAACTTTAACCGTCTTTAAAGACTGTTTATCTTTTGGCATTAAAACAGTACACAAAGACAAAACATTGACACGAACAAAAATTGACAACGGGTTTACTTTATAAATCAAATTAATTTAATTGGCAACTCTCGATACGTATTTCTAGGAACAAATGCATTTGTGAATAATGAATTAAACAATACTCTGGTCATATATTAGATGTAATAAGAACGCCGATAGAAAAGTATTGTTAAAATGATAAATTATTTACAATTGCATCTAAAAGTGTAAAACGAAAGAATTATGTCCTAAAAACAAAAAAAACAAATCAAATACGCATTTTATGCTAAATAAAATTTCAAGACTAGTTTTATGATATCATATGTATTTGTTTCATACTCAGTCATTTTTGTGAATGTCTCAAACAAATATGACAATACTACAATTCCTCTGTCCTATTGATGAGTGATGATCATTGTCAAGTATTTTATAATATTGTTATACGTCATAATATATTATTTTTACATCATCTCAGAAAATTTCTTATAAATTGTATTGTGAATTAATGGATCTTCCTCATAGGTGACTGGAGGGAGGGGCTAGACGGGGCATTTGCCTCCCCTACAGGGCCCTAGCTGTATTAAAATCTATTATATAACATGATTATATATTATATTGAACTTAATAACATGAACAATTTACATTAAAGTAAATTCGACAATTGTTTTCTTCATATACTTTTATAATTCTAATTTAATGATAATATATTATCTTTGAAAGTATATTATTATCAATCTTAACATCTAAGATTTGGTATAATTATTATAAAAGAACAAACGGATATTAATTAATTCAAAAATATTTTAGAAGCTGAAATATTTTCATTACTTACTACATTCTGTATATTGGTCTTTCTATACTGGCCACAACTTGTACAACTGAACAGTCATTTAGTACATAACAGACGGTAAAAATCTGGTTATAATAATAAATGACAGACAAGGGACTTGATTTTGTATGCATGTTATGCACATTTTGCACAAAATTTTATTGTATACAATTTAATAAGCGAACATATTGACAAGACAATGGTTGATCGTTTCGCAAAAGATGTAAGACAGTTACAGTTGCCTTTCCAACAAGAATAATTTTTAATCTAAATATTTTACTATCATTATAATTTTTAATAAATTTGTCAGTTAAATAATTTTTCAGTAGTTTTATTGGATTGTACGTAACAAAAAAAAAACATGGTTCTAATTTTTTTTCATACATCTTTCAGTTTTCTTGTATAAAAAAAAAAATGTATATAATTATTATCTTTATATGCATACATTTATTTGCATATTTTATAGGTATGTATTACAGTATTAGTTACTGGTTTTTATTATTGTGTTAACTTGTATCTTAAGCCACGAAGAACATTTTAAGACCTTTTTTCAGTCATTATTTTATATTTTATAGACCTTGCTTCTCCCTAGATAAATGTCTGTGGGCGCCTATGATCTTCCCCAATTTTATTTTTGTGGAATAATCATCGATATCGTCGGTGTATCACTTGATAAATCATCAACTTAATTTGAAATTATATCTCAATTTATCAATTGTCCTCTATGAAATTTATGCTTGCCTTGAAATATTATGGTAGTAATATAGTAGTATACTAAAAGAGTACCAATTGTTGTATTCAGATGTAATTTTCCTCATATTTATACCAATCATTAAAAATTAAAAATAAATATTGTATATATTATTTATGTGTAATATGCTAATTTATATATATATTTATAACTTATTATTAAGTTTTATTTATTTTCCTAGGGTTATGTGATTATTTAATCATTTACCTAATTTATATTTTATATTTATATTCTTCTCTGGCTTTCTACAGGCCTTTTAGTCCCATCGACGTAACAACTACTTGCTTCCACTTCTCTCTATCTTCTGCTGTTACTTCCCCATTCCATACTCCCAGCATCTTCAAGTCTTCTTTTATTCAATCTATCCATCTTTGCCTGGGTCATCCTCTGGGTCGCTTTGTGTTTGGTTTCCAGGTAATTATTTGTTCAATTAGACCTTTAGATCGCCATATATATATATATATATATATCCGGTCCATTCTATTTGCACGCTTTTCAGGGTCCTAAAAAATGCTAAGTTTGTTTATAGGTCTTCTAAGTTATTATTGCTTTGTACTTCATAATCTCTTTTATTGTTTCTTTCGGGGCCGAAAATCTTCCTCAATATCTTTCTCAAATACTTCTAACTTTTTTCATCAGTTTTTGTTGTTGCCCAGGTACTGTTTGTATATAGAGCTATTGAGTTAACTAGGACTTTATATAAGGTTATTTTGGATTTTCTTGATAAAAATTTGACTTGAACAATGGTAGCAGTCTATAGTAACACCTGTTTGCTGCGATTAGTCAGTCTTTAACTTCTTCGTGGCTTTTTGCATCTTCATTAATATCTGCACCTAAGTATTTAAAATTTCTTACCCTTTCAAAAGTGTGGTCCTTTACATTTAAGGAGTCTATTCTGTGATTTTATCTTGACACTATCATATATTTTGTCTTTGTTTCATTAATTTTTAAGCTGCCAATCTTTGTCCCCTCCTTCATCAGAATATTTGCTGTGTTTTTTAGATTATTCTTTGTTTCGGTTAATAATATTATATTTATAATATATATTCTATTACAACATCCTTCAAAAAAAAAAAAAAAATGATTTTATTTGTTTGTAAAAAAAAAATTACTTGCAAATTTATTGTTTTGAATATACAAATAATAACACATACTTTAATATCTATATTATTCTTTCTCTGATATATAATAACTGAGATATTGACATTACAGTATATACCGTACGGTCCGTTGTATAATACTTCTATTGTATGTATTAATATAATAATAATAATGAAACATTATATTATTAATTAATGATTTTTTTAGTTCTAAAATGTAACCTAAATTTTTATTTATAAAATATTCTTAAATTGGTTTAAATTTAAAGAAGTTCTACTGTACCAATTTATTTTTTGTACTTAATTAAATTGGATACTTAGTCATTAAATAAATTGATTTAATTTTTAATATTTTCCAGGACTGTTTTCTAGATCTTAACGTAATACCTCGATATGATAAGCTTTCTGATTGTCTCAACTATCCAAAATTTTCAAATTTTGGCTGGGAGATTTTATATACAAATTATAAAGCAAATATGATAAGAATTTTGGACTTCGAAGATCATAAAGATATTAGCCGTTTATGTTTACTACTCAAACTTGATTTATCAAAGAACAATCTTATTGATACTCTTTCTGAACTACATTCATATAATTTACGCCAACCTCTTTCAGCGATTAGATGTACAAATGATTTAAAAGAATTATTTCCGAATGCTGATCCTATCTATTTAGATATAGTCGGAGAAGTCTTTTCAAATAATATTACTGGTCTGAATGAATTTTTAGATAAAGTTGCCACAAATATTATAAGTTATCCAAGAATTACAGGATACAATGAAAAACTTAAGACTTTAAAGATTATTCAAAGTTTGACAGTAAATTTTAATGTTAAAGATTTTTTAAAATTGTGCCCAGATCCTGTAAACTATTTCAAAAATCTGAATCGTAATATAAAAAAAAATCACTACATCGAGGAGTCAATGTCATACTTGAGTTATAAGTAATTTTGGAATTACTTATTGTAAATTTGTCTTAAATAAAAATTTGTTTTAATTAGGTTTAGGAATGTATCAATGGAAATGCTTAAAAATGTGTTTTATTACAATGAATACAATTTATCAAATACAGTTGAAGATCTATTGACACTTAATCAAAATAATTTGAAGTATACAAGAAAGCTATTTGAAAAACCAAAACCATTCAATTTTAAATCATCTGATAATATTGACTTAGTGACTGAAGTAAATATAAATAACATCTAATAATTGAACATTTAAATTTAATAACCATTATTATTTTTTAGATTGCATTCATTGATAACAAAGATAATATTCTTCGATATATTCAATCAGAAAAAAACATCCGTACTAGAAAATTTATCGAAGTAAAATATGTTTAATATTTTTCTTTCATATTAATTATTAAAATGTGTTTATCCTAGGCTAAGTCAAGTAATCAACTTCAGACCTGTGAATGTTGCTTCAATGATGAACTGCTATCTACTGAAATAAATTTCTGTCAAGCTGGCCATACTTTTTGTTTATCATGCATAAAAAAGTAATTTATTCTCTCGTTTTGTAAATATTCCAATTTACTCATATTTTTACAGTATAATTAATAATGTTCTAGGGGTGTTGAAATTATAGTCTCTGAAGGTAAACTAAATTTTAAATGCTTTGCCAATTGCAATGAAGAATTTAGTTTAATTATGATTAAAGTAATTCATTTCTATTAATTATTCGACAGTTTATTTTAATTACTCTTTATTTATTTTTAGAATGTTGTTGATAATAAATTGTACCAACATATAATAAAAATGAAGCAAATGCAAGAAATCAAAGCAGCTAATATTGAAGGACTTGAAACATGTGCATTTTGTGATTATTCTGTAATTTTATCCAGAAATATTAAAACAATAAAGTGCTTAAATCCTGAATGCTTAAAAGAAACTTGTAGGTTAGAATATTAATTCTTTTATTCTTTTTTTATGAAATTTATTTTAAGAAACTAAAAATATTTGGTAATCAGTGGCGTCATGATTGACGTTTGTCTAATGCAATAGCTTAGCCTTAGAAACCTATCATGGGGCTGGGTATCCCTTGGCTCATATACTTATGAGCATATTTTATTTAAATAATCAAATTATTTGGCTAATGCATGCATTGAAAAATAATTTATATCCACATATGATGGATAGGTTAGGTATTTGAAAAGAATAAAGAAAAATCCTATAGGTAGTAATATTGAATAATTGTATACAATTATATATTTATATATATTATGCAGTAAGGGGAGGGGGAGGAGTTGTTATTGTTTAAATACATTGCTTAGGGTTTTAAATATGCTTGCCTTGTTACTATTGGTAATAATTATTACCATTAATATTAATACATTTAATAAATATTTTGTTTATTATTAATAAAAAAAATCTCTAAAAATGAAAAAAAGTATTTTTTATACTTAAATATGTAGTTTAAATATATTTTTATAAAATATCTAGGGAATGCCGAGGAGAAAACCATTTTCCATTGAAATGTAATGAATTGGAAGAAAAAGATCCTGAAGTACAAGTTAGAATCATGATAGAAAATAAAATGTCTGATGTACTTATAAGGTAATTAACACTTGACCATTAAGTTTCTACTGAAAATAAAACTAATATTTATTTTATTCATCTTATTCAGAACTTGTTATTATTGTAACTGTAAATTTATAAAAGATGCTGGCTGCAACCAAATGAAATGCACTTGTGGTAAAAACATGTGTTACATTTGTAAAAAACCAGTTGATTCCAGTTATAATCATTTTTATCACAATATAGTGGTTGAAAACAAGTATGTATTAGTTAAATTAAATAATTAATTAAAAATTAATGTAAATTAATTCACAGATGTCCATTGTTTGTTGATGAAAATATTGTACATACTGCTGCTGTAGAAGCAGCAGCTAGATTGATTTTAAAGGAATTGAAATTAAAAAATCCTAGACTCTTAAGGAAAATTGATATCACTAAAATTTTACCAGAAATTAAAAAAACTAAAACCAGTAAATTGGTAGATACTTCTTCTGCAGAAGTTATTAAATTAATTGCTTTAATAATCGGTCAAAATGAAGAGGATGTAAAAAATCTCAAAGATATGAGTGAGTTTTATTTTATTATATTCTTAATGTAAATATCATAATTTTTGTTTTCTAGGATCCATGGAACCACTAGAAAAAAAAAACAAAGCAACAAACTGAAGTTAAGGATTTAAATTAATTTTTATGATTTTATTTTTAAGTTAATTAGAATAAGTTACCTCTTTTTGATTATAAATTATTTTTTTTCATAATTATAAATATTAAAATAACAATTTTAAACTAAAAAGGAATATCTTATACATTATTTATTGTATATCTAATAATCTTTTATAAACATTAATTATTTTTATTATTATTAATATTTTTACAATCAAAGTTTACAAAAAAAAGGATTTAAATTTTTTTTTTTTTTTTATGATTTTCTGAAAAAAATAAAAAGTTAAAAAATATATTTTGAACTTATTTATCTAGAAATTGTATTAAAATACTATCAGAGCTGGCTCAAGGGTATAGGTGACCTAAGTACCTGCTTAGAGCGCCACATTATTAGTGAACAGCATTTTTATGATTGAGCTCTTACTTTTTATTTCTAATGATATCCGAAATTAGTTTTTGAGTACATAATGTGTTACATTATGTATATTTATAAAAACATGTTGATAGAACTAAACCCTACTACTTCTAAAATATTAAGATTTATATTAATTTAACTTGTAACTGCTGTAACAGTCAAGAGAAGTTTCACAAAACAAAATTTAAAAAAAAATGATTTGCGATCAAATATATCTCAAGAACGATTAGCAAATCTTTCTACTGAAAAATAAATTGCTGATAAATTAGACACGGATAAACTTCTACTGAGCTTTGTTTCTCTTAAAGCAAAAAATCAATTTTAAATAAAACTAAAAAAAAAGTTTTTTTTAAATAAAGTTTGTTTAATTTTTTAAGATTATGACAATGTTTTAGTTATTTGAAAGGTTAATAGTGAACAATATTTTAAAAAAAAAAACATTTTGATATATATTATGTTACTAGTCCTCCGGTCTAGTAAATCAAGGCTCAACTTTGTTTTTCTATAAAAACAATTTAAGGTTTATTAATTATATTATTTATTATACATTACATTTCCTGATTTCCTCATCATAAAAACAATTAAAGAATCAGCATTTAAAGTCCTTATTTTAGTTTCTTTATAGCTAAATAGGTGCTTATTGGTTATTAATAACCCAAATAAAATGATTTTTACATAAATAAATATAATAAAAATTGTGTATGTTTTTAACATTGAGTCTTGTTAAAAATTATAGAACATTACATATTATGACTGTAATGCCATCTAGCGGTTTAGCCAGTAGTGCAGACAATACAAATTAAAGAAGAAACATCCTCAAGAAGGAATGACAATGTTTTCTATACATATATAGGAATATATAATCTAAAATCTAAATACAATGATTTCATAGTAAATTAAATAACTACAAATTTGGCGTTTAAATAAAAATACTTAAAAAAACTGATAGTTCCACTACTTATTATTTCTTTAAAATATTTTTCATGTAGTTAGTCACATAAAAATAGAGGGGGGCTATTTTAAAATTAGAGCTCAATTTTTTTTTCAGAGTCAAAATTTGATTTTGTAGAGTGCACTATTTTTGTTTATGCCAGTCCTGAGTATTATTATGTGTTAACATAATTAATTAGTAAATAATTTGTTCTGAATTTATACAAATGAAAGTAAATATTTTCCACTGTGCAATTCAGTGCCATGTTTCTTTATACAAATGCATTAATGTTTCTTCACTGAAATGTGTTATTTTTGCTATTCTCATGCATTAATTACGTTTTTATTACTTCTATTTTATTTTTATTTTATATTAGTATTTTTATTAAATACAAAATTAAAATAAATAAGAATAATAAATAAATAATAAATAAAAATATTTAAACTATTAATACATTTAATAATATTAATAATTATAGGATATTGCTTCTAACATTTTTGTCGAAGGTGTTGGACTTGTAATAATTTTATAATTATAATTATAATGTTAATATATTATTATTAATTAATACAGTTCATAATAACAATTTTAAAAAAATATTTGTCAAGGATATTGGTTCTAATTTCTTTATTGTAGGTGTTGGACCACAATTATTAAAAAAGTATGCTTAAATATATTTCGTATAAAAAAAAAGTTATTTTCATCATGTTTTTGTGTGGTAATGAAATGAAAAACTGTCATAATCCCAGGTCTGAATGACACTGACGTAAAAATAGAAAGAGATTGTGATATTAGTGATATTTGGTGACCATTGAATTCGAACTGTTTTACAAAATACTAATATACTGTTGTTTTTAACTGTGACGAGGAATCTTATTTATTTGTAATTATCATAGTTCTTTATGTTATAACTAATTTACAGTAAAGTACCTGGATAATGTTGCGTTTCATAGTTTCGAATAGATTTTTATCTAAATTCACGTTAAAAATATAGAAAATGGTCATAATAATTATTACTCGAACTCGATGATAATTTTTTCATTATTATTTATGAAATTGATTAGATACTTATAACACTTTATCATAAAACGTGCTAATCAATTACAACGTTTTGTCCATAATTTTTCTACAGTCCCTGTAGCGCAGCGGATAGCGCGTTGGACTTCTAATCCAAAGGTCGTGGGTTCGATCCCCACCAGGGATATACAAGGTGGTTCGATGAACAATTTAGTTCTTCAAATTTTTTTTTTTTTTTTTTGTATATTTCGCCGAGAAAACGAATTTACTTTCTATTCGCAGTCAAACGATTTATGCGGCAATTATAGCAATGTTTAACACTTGGTGTACAATTTATTTAAAAGACATCGTTACAGTATATTAGATTAATATTTTATATATAAAAAAAAATAAGGAAAATAGTGTTTTCAGCGTATAAAAATATGTGAATAATAAATTCAGAAATGTTTATTATTGTTATCAAACGCAATGATTTATCTTGAATAAAGAATGAAAATTAATTTTACAAACATAATATTATCACGATCGAATTTTTTTTTTTTACTCAGTGTTTTCAAGTATTTGTATACTTCGATTGATTGAACATTTAATTTTTACCCGAAGAGGATCGCAAGCTTGAATACGTATAAACGCAAAACGTAGTATAGATGTAGTGTATTCAAGTACGTTAAAAGTAATACGTTTAAAGATCAATCGAATCACAAGAGACACATACAATATGCGTTAAAATTAATTTTAATATAAAACTTTTTGTTCCGTATTCGGCTATTATATCAATAAAGCAATAAAACCGGCTTTACAAATACTTGATAGATTTTAAAACATGAGATTAATGTTTAGATAACATTTCTTTACTGTTAAATAATGCATTTAAATTGAGTTATATCATTTTTATCTTGAAAGCTAAAAATTTGTATTCGCACAGATCATTCTAGTGAGTGCGGTTCACTTGTTGTTGTAGGCTGTCATATACAATCTACTTAAATTATTATATTTACATACATTAATGTAAAAAATAATAAGTGTGCAAGTATATTTAATTTAATTTTCCTATGTACCTAATTTATATTAATCGTATTTAATTCAATAAATTAATAATTTTGCATATTCTTCCAAATTTTTTCTGCATATTATGATATTTTTAAAGCATATGTATGCCCATATTTTAGTACTTTTTAACGTGTTAAGTTCCAAGCTTTGATTATAAACATTATTTTATAAAAACAAGATTAATAAATATTACAAAATTTGTAATTTGTATTAATTCTTATTAATATTATTTAATAATATTAATAAGAATTAATAGAGGATATAGAAAATCGAGATAATCGGAGGTTCAGAACAAGGGTGGCCGATTTCAAATAGTTGGGAAAAAGACGAAGGAGAAGAAGAAAAATATAATTTAAATTTATTTAGATATTTACCAAGAGAATAATTATATACATTATATAATTGTAGTAAAATAGGTCGTTATTAGGAACTCGACAATATTTATGATATTGCTAATAAATATAATTTTAATTTAAGTATTATAAAAAAATCCATAAACGTGCAAAAAAAAAAGTTAAAACAAAACCTTGCCTTTGAAATTATTGTAACATAGAATATTCTTCAACAATAATAATTATAATTTATCAAATATTTGCCTAAGATTATAAATGATAATCTAATTCATTTTAAGGTGGATTTAAAAAATAATAACAATTTAATGAGACACATAAATAACAAAGCTAGAAATTTACTTAAATAAAATACAAACTTCCCTTGATAATGCTGATGTATGCAGATTGCGGATTTCAATATAGTTGTGATCATTAGTGGAAATTTGGTGAAATTAGTAGGGGGCTGAGCATTATTTGCTTATTATACCTATAGGTATACCTGTATAGGTATAACCCCTGTACGTAATTATTAGAAGACAATTTACAAAGTTTGACAATTTGACATACTCAATAATTCAAACAAAAACACAATTAGGCGTCTTATCTTAAACATTTTTGGAGTAGGCATTCTAAACAGAAATTATTAATTCATTGAATTATATAACTAATGCGGGTATAATGACATATTATTAATATTACATTAATTACGATCGTTCCAAGTCATGACAATAAGTTTGTAAAATTTTACGAATTTGATTTAATTTTTATCACAGAAATTTTTTTTTTAATACAGTTATTAAAAATGCATTTTATAATTATAATAATTATTGTATTTTTAGGGTTAGAGGGGCTAAATCCTGTACTTTACATTTTTGGGGAGCTTAGTCCCCTCAAGCTTCTCCCGATTTCCGCCTATGGTTGTGATAAAGTGTATATTAGTATAGTGAATAAAGTGAATATAAATTTCAGAACTAAGTACAAAGAATTCTTGAAACAAAATTTAATTTGTCTGATCAAAATTTTATTCTTACATGATATGATATGCTTTAGAAAATAATCATTTTTTTCATTATTATTTCATATGGCGTTGGTATATTGGTGAAAAACAAATCTTATAAAAACCATATCATAATAATTGTATTACAACTAAAAATATAGAATCATTAAATAACCGAAAAATTGTTTGAATTAATTCTGTTTCAGAAGGATTGCATATACTTACATAATGAAGATAAGAAAAATTAATTAAATAAAATCATAAATGTTCAATCTTTTTTTATATAATAGTTAATAAGTCTTAGTTAATAACTAAGAATTTTATAATACATTCATAATTCTATAACTACCCAGTAATCTAAAAAACAGTCTCTTTTACAGGACTTTTTTATCAAATTAATATTTCTCAATAAAAAATGTAAGCAATTTGTATTTGTAAGTGTTCTTCATTTTTATTTTTATACTTAAGTGTATTTTTTGGATCTGACGATGATTTTTTGAAATCGTAACTGGTTTTAAGTGTTATGTACATTCAGTAAATAATAATACTCTAGACAATAAATTTCGTTTCAATGTCTTATATTTTAATTTTGTTTACATTATTTGTAATGCTTAATACCATTTTTAATAAATCATTTAATCGTACTTCATTTAAATGTTAAGAGTATAAGCCACAAAACAATTTACTTTTATAGAAAAACTTTATGCACGAAAAAAATCAACACATAACATTTATAAAATATTTGAATAAACAATACATTTTCTTGGAAATAACTTTTTTTTTTAAAGAATAGTATAACATAACGAACGAATTATATTTTACACAGGTACATTTTTAACACACGATGTTTTCCAATATCATTGTACATATTTCGGTAAATCGCGATATGATCCGTAATTCCGTTTTGTTCGGTGAACTGCGAATAATAATTCGGGTACAGCATACAATTTTACTTTTCAATCATAGTAACCAAAAATTTCCGTTTATATATGCGTACAACCGCAGTAGGTTGTTTATTAAAATCGATTAATCAATTATTAACGGGTGAGAGGGGCTTAACAATATCTGATCAGATTACACGAATATAAATCTACAGTACGTCTTACTTAACCAATACATTATTGTTACGCACGACGAGAACGGTAACACTAAAACGGTATTATAATTGAATATGTGCGTATAATTACAAAATAATAATAAAAATAATATGGACGTATCCCGGTGCCGGAGATTTCGGTAAAACGTTGTACGTACGTTTCGCGTTTCGATCTCCGTTCGGACACCGGTAAAAGCAAACAGAAGAAGAACAAAAATGAAAAAAAACCATCACAGTTAAAGCGCACACGCGTCATGATTATATTTGTTAATTTTTATGATTCCCGAATGCCGTCGGGAACAGGGGGTTGGAGAAGAAATGAAATGCGTTTTGGCTGCACAACGATGGTCCGCTGCGGTCGGTGGCGGATACGGTGGAAAACCCGGTCCCGAGTCCATTCGCTCACCGAGAACACGACGGGGCGCGCGGCGATGACCGTGGCCCTTGTGCAGGGGTACGGTGTTGGAGGGACGGGCCCGTTCACCGTTTTTTGTTCTGCATCCGGGCGGCCGCGTTCCGCTGCCGGTCCGCGCACAACGGTATGTGCCGTTCGGCGGACGCCTCGTTGAACGAACGGCCGCAGTGCGGACACTTGACCAGGTCCGAGTCGGCCTCATCGTCCGGGTCCGGGGCCGACGCGTTCTCCAGCTCCGGCGGCAGGTCGCGCACCGACCCGCCTGCGGCCAGGTGACGTTGCACGGCGCGGGCGGCTCGCACGTTGCGCACCAGCTGGTCGTGTTTCCGGCGCCACGCGTCCTTCTTCTTCTTCAGCTTCTCCGCGGCCCGCTGGTCCTCCTTTTCGCTCTGCGCGAGAGGACAAACAAACAAACCGTCGTCATTGGCGCGCACATCGGCCTTTTGGGGGGGAGTGGTGGGAGGTGAGGTGGTCCGCACGGACTGAAGACTCGCAACGAGCGGGCGGTAAAAATGGTACGGTGAATTGCGTCCGGTATTTCTCGGACTCTAAAATGGGCGTTGCGCTCGCGCAGTACAGCCTATTCCTGATAACTGAAACCCCGATTAACGATAACGGTAACCCGAAAAACATGATGTTTCGAATTTTTTTATTCCCTTAGATGTCCCCATAACACTCGATGTAAGTCTTGTTAACTCGAACTTAAAGTTGTAATAAACAGCTTGATTGAAATGTATCGGGGTACTTTCGTAAACAAATTATGTTTTATCTGCTCGACTGCAAAAGAAAAAATGATATCTCGAAGCCAATGTTTATCTATATTTCATTCAATACTTAACAAAAAATATTTTTAACAACTCAATGCACTGAACACACCTACCTCTATTACATAAGAGGGCAGTGATAATCGCCCACTTGTGGTGTCTTCTGGGCACCGTTAAAGGACTACCACAAAAATAATATATCTGCCGGGGAAATTTATATAAATGTATACTCGAAACCGCTACTGCGCCGCGAGAATGCTGTCGCTATCGCAAAAACGCGAATCCTTTTTAGCGAGTCCTTAGAATCGCTGCCGGACGGGAAACAACGGGCGCGCGATCGTCGCGAACTAGAAAAGCGCGTATTGCGATCCTCACCTTCTTTTTGAACGACGATACGTCCACACCGGCCTCGGCGGCCACGGCCTCCAAACGCTTGCGGCTCGTGTCGAACACCTTGCGCTTGCGGTCTCGTTCACGCGTACGCTGGCACACTTCCTGGTGCTTGGGCAGCCGGTCGGCCGCGAAATCTCGCGAGCACAGCGGACAGCGGGCCATGCCGGCCGCCGGCGGGCCCCGGTCCGCGGACAGTTGCGGTTTGATGGGTTGGGGCGGACGGGCCGCGACGTGCTTGGCGACCGGTTGCCTGGGCGCGGCGACGGGCTTGAAAGGTGGCGTGGTCAGTCGACGCGGGGCCATGGGCTTCGGCTGTTGCTGCTGCTGGCCGGGCGTCCCCGGCGGAAGTCTGACCGCCCGCACCAACGGTTTCTGCGCGCCGGCAGCGCCGGCCGCGGTCACGCTGGCCACAGCTTCGGCTGCGCCCGCGCCCGCCGCCAGTGCGTTGATCACCGTCGGCTGAACGACGGGCGGAAGCAGCAGTCTGTTGGTGGGCGCGTTGCCGCCACCGCCACCGGCCGGTTTGCCGAAACCGCCGGTCGGTCTGCCGCCGTACCCGCCGCCGTTGGACGCGGCCACCGGCTTTTTCGTGACGCGGCCCAGCCCGTTGGCATTGGCACCGTTCCCGTTGACCGTGGCCAACGGTTTTTTCGCGAGTGTCGCTGTCTTACTGTTCACTCGTCCGGCCGGTCGCTGCGCCAGCTGCGGACAAACGAAATGGAATTAATGTCGTTACAAACACGCGCATGTGCGTTTACTAGGCAGATATGTAATAAGATATGTAATGGTGCGCTTAGATCAAACTGTTCTACAGTTCCAGCGCCCGTCTGCACTCGGCATTAGAAAACTTAGTTCTAAATAACTCATGGCAAGCACAAACATTATTCATAATGACTCAGAATTGTTTTCCAAGCATAATTATAGTAACATATATTTTTATTATTATAATAGTTCATTGTACAAATAAATTGTTTCATTAATGGTAGGCAAGACATCGGTTTTGAGTTTTTGTTAAAATCGTTATAAATTTGAATAATTGAAAATTATTGTGAATTGAACTGATGAGCATAGGCGTGTGCACAGGTGGTGCCAGGTGAACCCGGGCAACTCCCGAAATGTAAATGGGCCCTCATAATTTAAGACAATGCGTAAGCAAGGGCGTCCGCAGGAATTTATCAAGGTGGGGGGGGCTCAAGATATTTTAATTTTTTAATTTTTGTTTCATTACCTAATTAGTGATAAAGTACCTTATTGTTTTTAACGTGTTTTCTATCTATTATATAGGTAGGAAACGTAATAAATTAAATTATTAATTATGTGTATAGTTAGAACTTAATTTTGCCGTATTCATTTTAATTAATTAATGTGCAACTTTAAATCAACAAATGCATTTTTTTTTGTATATAAATAAAATAAAACTATTGATTTAATAATTTTAGGTTACTTATACAATTAAAGTTTCTAGCTTCTATAAAATAAATAAAGAACTACCAATTAAAAAACCATTTGACATTTACCAACTTTAAATATTCACATATAAAAGTCGAAACAATGCATCGAAAACCAATGACTTAAGAGAGTGCAACAGTGAAAAAAATATGTAATACACCCTTAAAGATCCGTGTAACATTTATCGACTAAGTGTCGACCGTGGCACTCGACGTTACAAAAAAAATTTTTAATTTAAAAAAAAAATATTTATTTTGTGATATCTTATACTACATAATCGTTGTGATAATTGAACCATGAAAAAGCCAAGGGGGGGCAGATGCCCCTTCTTGCCCCCTTTGTGGACGCTCTTGTGAGAAAGGGGTACGTATTTTAACTGATGTTTCTCAAATTAAATGTAACTTATTCTAAAATATTTATTCAAAAATAAAATCTATTTCGTAATGAAAAAAAATAAAACTCTCTTATGGTAATAATATTAAAGCTATACAATTGTCTACAAAAGTAAAAATCACAAATAATTTCCGAGTATACGAGATTTAAGGAAAATATTCTCATAGGGACTAATATACCGCAATATTCAATAAAATTTAAACTTACGTTTAGTTAATTATGTATAGGTACATTATACTTGTAGCTTATTAAATATACCAACACGTTTTATTAAGATAGGGTCCAAAAATGTTGTAGGCACCCGCTGAAATACAGCTTTGCGCACACCTATGCTGATAAGAAGTACATTATTCAATATGCCGGAAGGATTGGTGTTTTTCGAGTTCACCTGTAAGTCCATTTAAGATTAATCGAAAACAGACAGGACTATAATCAATGCCGGATTAAACTATAAGCAAATTAAGCACTGCTAAAGGTCCGCGGAAAAATTCGACCCGTAGAATTTTTTTTGTATTGGGAAAATTTAATATCTGTATATTGGCACACTAAATTAGACCGTTAATTTAGTGTCCCAATCTACAGACCCGGTAACAACCGAATATATTCGATTATTTATCGCAGAAAAAATCCGGCCAATTAAAATGGTCAGACTACATCCGGATTTTGATTGAATTGACTAATGTACACAAAAAACGTATAGATGAAGAAATAAGTATAGATAAGTGAACAGTTACAACGACGATAGTGACTAATTTTATAATGAATATACATATATTTTAGTATTAACTTATAATTTAAAAATGTATTCGACACGGTTATGTATTAAATATTATTTATATTCATAGATAAAATTATAAAAATTATTTTTTTTTTTTAATTTCTAGTTTAGAATCACGGTTAGGATTGGTATATATTTTTTTTTACTCTTTATGGCCAATTAGGTCCGTCTGACTTATTGCTTAAGGCCCGAAAAAGACTTAATTCGACACTGATTATAGTCTAATTAAAAAATAATAATAATTAAAGTTTATTTCATAATATTATGCACAGAATAAAACGTAAGTATATAATTAAAATACGAAAAAAAATTGATAAAACATTTTTCACACATGGCAGTGGTAAGAAACGGAAAGCGTAACTTTATGCAAACATTTAAGTCATTCTGTTGTGATGTGATAAGCTTGTATTGATATTTCGAAGATGTGACCATTTAAATTATGGTAATGCAGGTAGGTACAGTATACTCTCACACATTGAACGTGTACAATTGTACTTAGTATTATTACTAAACACTACTACACAACACTTTAATTACAACTTAAAATAATAATGCTATACTAAGAAAACAGGTCTACTATCACTGCTTCTGCAACAAATGCAGTATTACTGTGGTTACTAAATACCAAAAACCCAAGACTACTGAAACGATGAATAATTTGACGGACCGTATATTCGATGATAGTTAATTTTTAACAAAGCATTGTTTAACTTAGTTAATCGGTAGTAATTCCTTTTTCAAAATATAGCAAAATGTATGGCATTTATTAGCACACGTATATAATTTGTGTTCATTAAATGCACAATTATTACATAATGTTTATGAAATTAATATGATAATAAAACGTAAAAAAGAAGATTGAGACCGTGGAATGAGGTCTAAAATTAATTCGTTTGCATATTAATAAATACAGTGTTCCGGTGTGTTTTTCACAGCGAATAACTTTTTTTCTAATTAATTTTTCGCTCTTTTTCATATTAATATTACTATTATATACATGTGAAACCACTTGATTTATTTGTTTCGATATTTTCTCTACTTCAACATTTTATGATTATAATTAATTAAATACAATTTTTTTTACATAATTAGTTTATAGTTGTAGTCCGAGTATTTCATTTTCAAATAAACATATTTTAGAATAATTATAATTTTTAATTTTTTTATAAATATATTAAAATTATTAGTAGGTATGAAAATAATACTTATTTTTAGTAAATTATAATTAATTTTTACACGAACAAAAATAAATCTAGCAATGGATGGCCAAAAAAAATGTCTCTAGGTATTTTTAATTTGTTGTAATTATCATAGTTTAAATATCATTGTAAGTTTATTTAAGACTTAATTATCTCATACGGTTTTTTATCTATCTTTACAAACCAATAGGAAAAAATCATGGAAAATATTTTCAAAAATCAAAAAAGTTGAATGCCGAGTTTAATAAGTCGAAATATATATTTTTTTTATTATCTTGTATTAATAGCAAACATTTAACAGTTGTAAATTTGAGTTAGTTTATATTAAGTAGTTTAACGCAAAATTCCAAACAAGTGTAATCTATAGGTAGATACCTACATAATAGATCCTTGGCGTATAACACGAATTTAAAACTTAATTCTGTCAAATTGGTTTATTTAAAATTAGTTATTTAATTATATTTTGGGAAGTATAATTAATAAGGTTTAAATAGTACGTCAAATTACTGTGTTGCTTTAGAAAATATAAATTTAAGACATTGCCTATATGTAAAAATATGAATTTGTTATTTTAATGTAAATTATAACTTAATAAATAAATAAACACAATTTTTTTTTATTTCATATTATGAATTAGTATAATAGATAATATTTCTCACCAGGAGATTTAAAATATCACGATGAATTTCATTGTTTAAACAATTTAATCGGTTATTGTTATATATTATAATATAATTAAACTGAACCAGATTATCAACGGAGCACTGCACTGTTCACGAATGAATTTATATTGTGGACGAACTAATACACGTACAAACAATTAATACAAAAATAAATTATAGTTTTATCATTTTTGTAGGTTCAATGTATATTATATTTAAATCATAAAAGCAGCATTGGTAAACATCACATTTTAGTCACAAAGCAGATGATTTAATTGGGTCACACATCAAACCAAAAATTATTTGCATGACACTACTGACAATAATATTTAAATACGGTGACTAGGCGGCCGATGCTACTTCTAATACAGCGGTTCTCAACCCGTAAACAATACGCTAAGAAATTGATATCATTTTCAATGCATTATTATTATTATTAACATGCAATATTATTAGGTTTTTTCAATATTCACGTTCTTATTAATTGAATGCGTCAACCGCGTTATTAAATTATTTAACTAATACACAATAGTTATAATTGATTATTATATTTGTATGTAATAACTGTCCATATTTTATTTGAATTTTGTACGTTGAATGTTTGAAATTCAATAACTGTTTAATTACAATAATAAAAGGCTGTCTATACGCGTAAAAAATGAATACATTTAATTTTTTTGACGAGCGAAGAAGATGAAAAGGTTTTTTGGTCAAGTGATTCGTGAACAATTTCAAAACACGTAAGTTGTACGCGGATGGGAACAGCTGTTCTAATTAATGTACATAACTAGATGTTTAACTTCAACACTTAAGCGTACTAAACTGCTGCGACTCGTCTTCACAGTAGAATATTTGAGGGGTAGGGCACGATGGAGGTGATCGGCTCCCAAATCAATTGATATGTTTCAGAATATATTTGCTATACATTTACTAAGATGAAATTATAAAAAAAAATTATAAAGAAACTTGGAATTTATTATTTAGCAAGATTATCTGTTTTTGATTATTATTTTAAAAAAATTCTGTTTTTAGTGTCTAATGTACATAGTACAGTCATTTTATGGGTCAAAGACCTTGACATTTTTAGGAAGTTTTAAAAAATTATGTCAAGTAAAATAAAAAACATAAAATAAGTTCCAATACAAGGCGTGATAAATGTTTTTTCAACTCCCTGGGCACATCAAGGACTTTTTTGGAGAGCGGAGTAAAAAAAATATAGTCCCACCTTTCTTGAATGGAATTTTATTTGCCCACCCCTCCCTGCATAGAGTCAAGTCAGATGCACCACTGCGTACTCTACATCATACGTGTACGTTTCTAAATGTTTCGCGTGCAACCGCGTAGCAAATGCCGGTCAAGTGGGCTGCGAATTTGCCGATAATGACCTGTTCGTCGATATCTTCGTCGTCATCGCCACCGCTGCCGGTGTCTCGACCGCCGTCGTTTCGCGCGGCTGGCCTTTTGACGACGGATCTGCCGGGTGCCGCGACATTCGGAGGTGGGCCGGGACCGCGACCGCCACCGTCCATCAGCCACTTGAGCTCGGGGGCCGATTGAGCCGTTTTCATCTTGGTACCCTGGAACGATTCTGAGAGAAGTTTGCCACCTAGGTTGGGCAGACGGCCGAAGAGCGCTAGTAGTTCCCGGCGCGCGTCCCCGCCGGTGCTGCTTATGCCCACCAGGTCGGCGCCGTCCGCCAGCGATGGGCCGGTGAAGCAGACCGTCTTGCTGAGCGGATCGTCCTCCGGATCGGACAACGGTCTCAGTGGCCTGGACCGGTCGCGGCCCGTCAGGCTTCTCCTCCGCTGCCGCCGGAACTGCTGGTGGTGCTGGTAACCGGGCCCTTGCGACTGGCTCAACTGGTTCCGCTCGGCGAACAGCTGCCGCACCTTTGCGTCACGTCAACAACGGGTGGTTAAGCGTTGCACCGGTTACGGTCGGGCGATGCGGTAATGGTGGGCGCGGCACCATAAAACGTGACGACGACGAACCGACGGGAATGCGAGCGCGTCGAGTGCGGCGATATTTCGGTTACGATAAATGTTGTGCGCGGTGCAATGATGAATTTGACGACTGCGGTGGTTTCGGTAAAACATCGCAACCGTTCGAATGGTGCCCGACCGCGACGACGGTGATGGTCACGAGGGTGGACCGGCCAGGGAAGCAACGGGGCGCAATTGGGCTTCCCGGGCCCTCGATAGCGCCATACCGATAAGAAATGTAATATTAAAATATAATAGTAAAACACCATTCGTTTACTGTTAGAATTGATTGCGAATCGAGCATTGTTAACTACAGATATTTATTATTAGTGAAGTCCGGTCGGTAGGCCCAGTCGATTGACCCCTGGGGCTCCTCTATACGGCCCAGTCAACCTGGTGTAACCTGGTGTAGGTGGAATATCGATTATGCCACCGCTCCACCGTGCTAGTTGTACAACGTCGCACACGTGTACATTATATATTTACGGTTAACCGGTGCGGTGGTATCGATATGTAAATTACTATCGAAATATCGCGCTAACCGATTGGCGTACACGGTACGAGTTCACGCAGTGATGATGATTATAACCGCTATGAATTCATGTGTAAAACAATGAAAAATCTTTGCGGTGTAGTTATAATCGTATTAAGACTTCACCCGCTCGGCGGATCAATTCATATCTCTATTCAACCGCGACAGAAGTAATACGGTACATTGCGGTCACAAATACGAATATAAATTACATTAGTCACTAACGTATAATACAAATCTTAAAATCACATCGACAAGTAATAGCTTTCATTTTTTTTAGAACTTTTTCGATTTTATGTGTGTGAGAAATTTTAATTTTTCAAATCTCCATACCGAATCTCATAGTTTTTCGTTTAAGGTTTAATGTTTTTTTTTTCATAAATATTTTGCTCGAATTTACTTAACTTCACTGCGCAGTAAATCGTACTTGGTATGAGAAGAAAAAAAACACGATCTGTAATTTTATTACAAACCCAATCAACTCTTCGACGGTTTATTTCATGATAACTGTTTAGTAAATACGAAGTAAAAATTTAATCGATTATTATAAACACGATTTTTATGTAGTATTTTATAATAATGGTTTGAACACAAAACGCAAAAATATCAGGTCGACCTGTAATCGGTTCCATAGATGTACCGCGCAATGCAGTGCAGCTTGATTTACTTCTAAAACTGTTGGTATTTGGAATCAAGAGATCGTCAGTCGCTTCAAACGACAAACATTCGATAATATTATATGCACACACACGATGTGCAATTGAGTCGCTCGAGCGGACAGGTTCGCGACACGTAAGCTTACTATTGTTATTGAAAAATAACTCGCGCGTAAAGTACCTTTCCTTTCACGTCGACCTGTACGAGGGAATCGGCTCCATCCGGTTCGGGCCCAGATCCGCCACCTATTTTCCGTGGCTGCTGTTGTTGTTGTTGCGGAAGAACGCCGAATCGCCGATTCGGTGGTACTGGCGCATCGCCCGTAGACGTGGACGACGATGAGGTGGACGAAGTTGTAGAGCCGACGACGCCTTTGACGGCCGCTAAAGTGGCTAAGTGTCTTTCCTGGAACTTTTTCTACGGGACGCAACACCGTTATAGTGATTAGTAATGTGTTGAAAATTAAAAAAAAAAAAAAAGTTAAAAACCTAACATTTTTTATGACGGTCGCCGAATAAAAACCCGGACCCGGAGCAGGGTGGAAATTTAAAGGTCAAAATTAACGCATAATAGACATTTTCAGCACACACGTGTCTCCGGTGTTACTGTACTGTCACGCTAGAGTTATCAATCGTTGATAAACGATGTTCGGTTTTTTTTTTTTTTTTGGTGGACAATACAGACGTAACACTGTTGAACATTTTTTTTCAACGCCTTAACGTTACCCATATCTATCAGTCGTGATTCGTGAACTTGAAAAAATAAATCGGTAATCCTGGTATCATCAGATGAACAATATTATGATACGTGTGAACGAAATGTATATTTATACATTTAAATATAGGTACAGTCAGGGCCATGGAGAGAAATGAAGGGTCCCAGGGACAAATTAATCCAGGCCCTTCTCATACGAGGTATTAAGCTTGCCACTGACTTCCAGTGTCGTCTTTTAAAATGCGTATACCAGAGAGATAATGTAATCACAGTCACGGTTATTTCACATACTAAATGAAAATAATTATTTATAGCCTATGGATCTTTTTTGAAAATGTTATTCTCTACGTTTTGGATCAATATTGTAATGTTCACTTTATTGTAGACTCGTTATAACTATACAATATACGCTATAATTATTTGGGTTGGTTATTAGCACGATTCATGTTGGTGAAACATAAATAGCTCGACACCACGACCGAGACGCAGTGGACTTTCTTTTGAAGCCCGGGCCCCTTGGCTACAGCCCCGGCCACCCACCCTCTCACCGGACCTGGGTACAGTTTTGAGAAAAATCATTGAGGTTCCAATAGTATGATACTTATGCCTTCACACCCTCCCGTCCGCGGGCGTCATTTAGATAATAACGTTATCGGTAAGTAAAGCACTCACTTGCATGTCCATCAACCTCGATTGCGGTTGACCGGATCCCGCCGGTGCCCGCAAAGGGGACGACGCCATAACGGTGATGTCCGTCCGTAACTAAAACGCGGGTCTACGACGTTGTTGTCGCCGCCGTTGTGCGCACGTGTACACGGCGGCGCCTGTTCGAACCGCTGTAGTCGTCACAGTCACGCGGCGGTTACTCTCTGGCTATGATCTACAATAAACACACATTCAGGCGTTGAAGAATATTTTTCATTTACTCTAGTTCGTTTTTCCGGTGTACTTTGTTCGACCCGGATGGTTCCCTTTCCTTAATTATTTTATTTTTTATTTTTTAACAGGAAATAATTTTTAAAACGATATTTACAACACTTTGTGCATGTTATGTGTATATGGTTTGGTCGGGTTGGGTTGATAAATGAATGAATGTTACGGCTGAAGCTCGACTACCGGTGAAATTCATAATGTACATTTCAGATTTGTTGAACATGAAATTAAAAATAAAAATGTTAGGTACTCTATCAGTGTTTGAAAAATTTGAGACTGAATAGAAAGATAAATTCGATTTCGGTCATAACATGTACATAATTGAACCCTGGGTTTTATCGGAAAACGCTGATCTGTGATACTAGATAGCTTTTTTACTTATATTGCATATAAATTATACGCATAAATGAATAACGTACGTATTTCGGAATGTATATACGTGTGAAACGGTGAGTTATGATATTTAAGCTAACCAAATATGGATGTACGTATGCGTGCATTCAAGTGGTTTATTTCATATCGAATAGAATAGTAAATAGTTCCAATCGAATGTTGACCGTAACAAAGTATCGGTTCGTTATATTTATCGTAAACATAACTTTTATCTCACGAAAATAATACAATAAGGTTTGGTCAGTACTGAAACGAAAAATATAACCTCTTTACGGACGGTGCGGTATAAATGAGAAGTACGTTATGTAAAAAAATATGAAATCGTAACAACTTTTAAGGAAGTTGTGTTCGAACACTACACGATGAGCGATATACACGTGTTGTACTCATATAATTATGCATATTTAAATGATAATATTCAACAATACTTGTATGTATTGTAATAAAAACTTATTTATGCGGTGCATTTTTAGATTACGTATTACAATTTTATGTGTTGGCGGGACGTTTTCGCTATTAGTTTAGTTACGTAAGGCTTACACGGTGCGGCAATCGATATCATAACAAACTGATTACAGTCGACGTTGTTATCATACACGTCACATCGTGTTACTATTTTAGTGTATAACACGGTACTTGCGTATAAACATAGGTCACGCACTACGGTGGTATTCTAAGGAATAAAATATGATATCTCCACGATTAATGCACTATGCTAATGATTCCGGAAAAAAAAATGAAATGCGAAACGAGAAAGAACTGTTCATACATTTTAAACGACCGAAATTATAATACTATAGGTACTATATACTAAGTCATAATGTGCATTTCAGATTTGTTGAACATGAAGTAAAAATATTAAGTAGGTAGTACCTTACCTGTGATTGAAAATTGAAAATTTGAAACTAAATAGAAAGATAAATTCGATTTCGGTCATAACATGTACATAATTGAACGCGGGAATTCATCGGAAAACGCTGATCTGTGATACTAGATAGCTTTTTTACTTAGATTGCGTATAAAATAGTGCTGAGCACCAAATCCGGATTACCGATTTGGATTGATCCGGATTGAAACAAATGATACAATCCGTTTAATCCGGATTATGATATAAATCCGGTTTATTTCAAATTTACTATATATAAATTATAAATAACATTAATAAATATAAACATTTGGTGAAAATTTCAAGTATTTAATTTTGTTATCTTCATGGGTTATTCTATTATCGCGTGTATTGTTATTGTTTAGAAGTGCTATAAATAAATATTGTGTTGTGTTCTACGATGTTAACCGATATCAATTGTACTTTTATTAATATTTAATAACAGGCATGAGGGTAATGTTATTTATTTTCAGTACTCACTGTTCTGTAGTCTGTAGTTGTAGTTTGTACTCGATAGTCGATAGTTACTAGTTACTACTTACAAGTTACAGCTCAGTAATTTTGTTATTACGTTAGTACTTACTACTTAGTACGTATTGCGTATCGACGTATCGTATCGTAATTTGTATTGTATCATTTATATTTTGTTACTAAACTATTGATAGTTTATCCTTTAAGGCGCGTTTACACGGTGACAGTACAGTCATGACAGCACTGTCGCATAGTAATGTGACAGCTACTGTCACATGAAGATGAGCGTTTACACGGTGACAATAATTGTCATAACAAATATTGTGTTTCGTGCGATAGCTAATTAAAATTGACTAACAGTGTCACTAATTTATTTTATTATTCACTTTATTATAATTTATAATTAACTGATTCACTTATTGTTTTAATTTTGCCTATTCTTAAAGTCAGGTATACATTTATCCCATAAACAAGGATGCTCTTCGTAATATTTTAGAAATTGAATAGTATCAAAAACCATTTTGAATTATAATTTCATTTATATAATTTTCAATTAATTATTATAATTAGATATATATTATTATTTAAACATTTAAATTAATTGAATAAAAACTGTAGGTATATGTGATAACAAGTAATAATTGATAACAACAATACAAAAATCGTACTACGGTAGTAGTTGAGAGTGTGGTAGTCACTGTTTACACGATAGAAGTGGCTGTCATACTGTCAGCTAGTTACTGCCTACTATCTAGCAGAGCTAGATAGTTCGGTGTGGTAGCAACTGTCATTATGTTTACACGACGACAGTCTTACGACAGCGACTATCATGACGGCGACTGTCGAGTGCTACTGTCATCGTGTAAACGCGCCTTTACCTATTAAAAACAATGAAGCCGGATTGGATCCGAAATCCGAATCAACGGATTGAATTCGTGAATCCGAATAAAACGGATTGATCCGAAATCCGGATTCAATAGTTGCAATCCGTAATCCGGATTGGTCAAAATAATGCTCAGCACTAGTATAAATTAATAACGTACGTATTTCGGAATATATATATACGTGGTAAACGGTAAGTTATGATATTTAAGCTAACCAAATATGGATGTGCGTATGCGTGTATTCAAATGGTTTATTTCATATCGAATAGAATAGTAAATAGTTCCAATCGAATGTTTACTGTAACAAAGTATCGGCTCATTATATTTATCGTAAACATAACTTTTATCTCACGAAAATAATACAATACAGTTTGGTCAAAACTGAAACTGAAAATAGAGTATAATATTTCCACGATTAATGCTCTATGCTAATGATCCTGGAAAAAAAAAGCGAAATACGAAACGAAAAAGAACTGTTCATACATTTTAAACGACCGACATTATAATGCTATAGGTACTATATACTAAATCGAAAAATTGATTTTCGAAATAAAGTATTCATAAACAAAATGAAATACGTAAGAAAGCGTAGATTAAGAAAGTGTAGGAGAGGTCACGGAATTAATATCACAAGGTTGAGGAGCGAGTGTAATATTTGTTAGTACCGACATTTTTTCGCTAGGTTACTCATTGAATAGGTTAACAATGAAAAATTTACTCGTCCAATTCTAATACATTACCGCTGTGCCACGTTTCACGGACGTATTATTTTTAAATGTTTTGTTTGCTATAAATTATAAGGTACGTAGATTACTCCCTATTATAGTATAATAAGTTATTTATTATAGTTATTTCGTGTAAGATACACTATTTTTTGCATCTTATATGGTATTATTGTAGCAGTAAAAAATTGTCCAACACTTAAAATTAAACAAAATACGCACATTATACCGTAATCTAACACACGACATACTCCCACCAGAAATATAAAGAAATATTTACTTATATATATATATAAAACAAGTCATATAAAAAATATCTATGACACACATGACTAAATAATATTACTTTATTATCTGCAATACTAATAATAATAATAACATTTGGATGTATAATTTTAGTAATTCTTTTAAAATTAGTAATTAAGTTATAAACATTTAGTAGGATAAAATAATATTATAGCTATAAGGATAGTTTAGTGTACCACCCCAATAAGCTCAGGTGATTGTTCTATTTTATAAATCAATTAATACTGTATCACAGAAAACAAAAAGGTAATTTGTTGTTTATGTTACAGCACAAATATTAGTTTTTATAATTAATTTGTCGTGGCAAATTTTGGGCAACAAAACACTACACTTAAACATCTGACTCCTGCAACTACTCTCTTATATAGTACTTCGAATGTATGTAATATATTTATATGGGTGCTAATTATAATATTAAACTATTAATTATGTTATAATATTATCATCGTTTTGTTATTTCGAATTTTAAATTCTAATTTACGTTTCCTCGACACTAATAATAATTGTTTTGTTTACTCATGTGATATTTTATATGCATAAAATGTCTGTTAAAACTCCCAGTCTAATTTTGATTTTTTATTTTATAATTTGTAATATTCTTATGACGTGATTTTCGATTGAAAGATGTATCAAACTATTTGTTTGTCTAAGCGTAAGAGGAGTGTACACTATTAATAATAATAGTCGTAGGTTGAAATTCTGTGGTGTGTAGGGATTACGCGACATTAAAGGAAAAGCCAAGCGTAGTGGTTGCACGTTGTTTTATTGATAGTGATTGTGCAAGCGGTGACTGCGAGAACAACTGCTAATCTACGAGAACAATACGATAATAATAAAACGCGTTTGATAGCGTAATTAAGAATACCATATCGGTGTATCAATACCACGCCACCATAATTTGAATAACTTTATAAAACACTGATAATATTTTATTATACACATAAACACATTATAAGTAATATATTTGCCATATCCATGAATATAAGATTTATAATCGTTGATTCACTATGGATTTACTGTAATCGATGAGATAAAGTTAATGAATATGTGGGCATCGAAGTGATTTTATTTTGAATATTGGGAATCTGAATTAAGATAATTATCAAACCCTTTTCATTGATCGTGATTGGTATTTTATTAGTCAATATTTTATCGAATCTGATGTTAATTCGAAAATGAGAAATTCAAATTAATGTAAAATATTAATGATTTTAACCATAATTTTAAAAATAAATAAATTAGCAAATGATTTATTTTTATACAATCATGGGTCAAAATTTAATATTAATCACTTTGAAATATTTGGTTTTAATTGTATATAATAGTATTGTTTTATTTCTTATTTCAATTATCAATAAATATAATTCTCACCAACATTATGATCGCTAATTTGGAGAAATTTACAAGTTGAGCGTAAATCGTTGTCACTTGAGCATAAAATTATTTTTTAAATAATAACAAATTAAAATTGATTTATATTTATTTTGATAATATTTGATTAAAACGACCGTGTTATAAAAGGGGATTATAATATAATGAATATACTGGAATATTGTCATTAAACAATAACTACTGAATCAGTATGAATAAAAACTATTTTCTTCTTCGAGATATGAGTTGGCACAGTCCAGACAGTTTAATACAAGTATTTTATGATGATAATTTGAATGCATGGATATGTGACTTTATAATGATTTATGATTCTATAAAATAGGAAAGTAATTTATTTAAATATACTTGAAAATAGCTAATAACTATTTTGCACTATTATAGGAATAAAAAATCGAGTTATTTTGAACTGAATCGGTTCATTCACGAACAAGTACTAACTAGTTTTCCTTTAAGACCGTACTGATTTCAACTTTAAATTCCTATAAATATTGTTATATTTCTGGCAGCCAAAAATAACGGCAGGTAAATAAATACGAAGACATTATTATGGCAAGTCAATTTCATACCAAAGTGCATTATATATTCCTACGTTCCTAATAGAAAACGTTGATGCGTCTGTCAAAAATCGCGGGTGGCGGTTGAATCGGTCGATACCGCGGCCTGGTCGATTAAATATGCAACATTAGTGTGGTCGATCGAATACGATCCTAGGATGAGTTTGTTGAAAACACCGTCCACTGCATTTGCAAATACCGTGGTAATTCGCTTTAACGCTTAACAATAACGCGATGCACGGGAGCTACGGGACATGATATCATAATACCTACATACGGCGCCGGCAGTTTCCGCTGTAAATCCTTCCGCTTTGCCCGTGCAGTGCATGCCACTGCTGACCACTCGAAGGGTCCGCACTATCGCAATTACATTATCAATATCGGTTTGCAGGAGACCATCGCCCGCCCGTACGATTTTACTAATGATTCGCGCGTAAAAAAGAGGTGGTGACAGCGCGTGGCAAACCGCAAATACGTCGCCCACGCGCCGCCACGATATCATTGCCACACTCATTCAAACGCGTATGGTAAAAAAAAAAAAAAAATAACATATTAATGACGGACACACGTACGCGCGCACACACATTCACACACGCGAATCGATCACTTTTACCCCGCGGTCTACGCCCGGTCCACTCTGGCCATCATTGCTCCAGGTATCGTCGATCGCGCGTGCGAGTGCGTGCGCTCCACTTGTGTATCATCCGTTATTCCGGTATATATTATTGGAACTCTGTGGTATTATACGACACGAGTGTAGGTGCAAGTTTCAAGTTTCTACACGTAATTGCTCTCATTGTTTGTTTTTACTTTTAATCGTCGTCGGTAAATATGCCGCCGTTCACGTTTCGCCGTTCCAACAAACCTTAAACAAAATTAGAACACTTGGAGGAACTACATTAGAAACAAAGTCCATCATCGCACGATAAGAAATCGAAAACAAATTCGCGACATAGTCACCGAGAAACATTGGTTTCGAGGATAGAGACAACCCGATACGACGTTATGCCTACGCGCGTTTATAAAATAATCATCGGCAACAACTATCCCCACCGTTGAACGGGGTTAATATAAATAATTTAAGTCGACATCGACCGGTCGTTTATCGTACCCGCGGCGGCAGCAGCGTGTTTGCGCGCGCGTTGGCGAACGGGTGGGTTAATGTGCGTGTACTCGAAATAATAATATACGATGTGTGCTTGTGAAAATAGTATTAAGGTGTATGTACCTACGTATGAACATACTACCTATACATACATTATAATACGTTATGCATATGTTATATCGTAGGCAAGTATATTTTTGAATGAGCGAGTGGAAAGTAGGTTGAATCTCCGTAATCCGAAGCTCAAGAATATCGAGACGATTACCTCGAGGTAATATTTGAAATCATCGGAAGTGAAACTATACTTTATAAGCGACATGCATTTAATTTACAATTCCGTACGCCGTACGACGTACACGATAAGCGTAAAATATTGCTCGGATGTGTATGGTTTTATTCCTTTAACGAGTTTTAAAAGTACGCGAATAATCTATGATGTATTGCCAATAGAACGGAACCATGTTTATAACTGCGCCCCGTACAATGTACATTATTTACATAACACGTATCCACGTTATACTGAATCGCATTTACTGTACGATGTACAGCGGAACACTTGTGCGGTGATGGTCTACCGTGCACAATCGCTAATGAAAACCCGACGAAAATAACGAACACAACGAAAACTTTCTCATCGTAATAAAAATATCCAATATGCGGTGCCTACGCGTAACGATAATCATATAACTATACGGTATTATTATCCCGTGTTAGACGCGATTTTTGAACCGTCAAAAATGATCAAAACGCACACGCTTATCGTCATTTTGTACGGATTCGATCGGTCGTTGAATCCTTTACCGATTTCATCAAATTTTCGGGACCTCGGTGCGCCCCTGGTCGCGAGCGCGGCGCAGAATTTTTTAACACGTACATGTTCGTAGAATGTCGAGTGAGAGATGATAACACTATTGTCGTTTCGTTATCTTTTGCACGGACGGTCGAACACCGGAATAGGTATTACGGATTCCGAGCGTATGTCGACCGCCGGCCGCTGTGGTGTATTTTGAAAAATATGCTCAAGCGTTTCAGAACCGAGACGGATCAAACGAACAGTGAACGTCAATCGCAACGTGCGGGACGTAAACGTTTACGTACGGACGACAAATAGTCGGGCGGTGAGGTCGACCGATTTGTCGCGTCACGATCACGTGATGCCAAACGACACGATCGCTGGACACATAACCAGACGACACTAACCTATGCCACGTGTAATCGCCGCCGCAAAACAATATCGGACGACGAGAGCAATTGTTCCGGTAAAATTATTCACATGGTGGGTACTCACGCGACGGTTGATGTCGTCCGCGGTGCGGTTGCCGGAGAAGGCGCGTACGTGAAGTGTTGTTGATCGGGCGCGCGCGCACGAGTCCGCTGGTCTCGACGACTGGCACCGGGGAGCGTGGTTCGCGTACTGACTCGCGAGTCGGCGACCGCGGTACGACCACGACGACGTCATCGGCACGTGGGCCGGCGACAATTAACAACAACAATGACGGCGGCGGCGACGACCTAATAAGTACAAAACGACGGCAAGGTCGCCGCGCCGCCCCTCCTCCAGCCGCTGATTCCTGTACCTGTGCGCAAGGCGCGTGTGCAGACTTTCGCCGCCGCCGAAGAGAGCCCCCGTTCGCCCTCGCCATCGAAACGGTCGAAGTCGGGGTTCGCGGTCGGCGGAACGATGATGACTCATGCCCTCCCCTCCTCCGTCCAGCGTGTCGTACGGGCGAAAACCGGTGGCGGCGCTGGTCAACGCGCACACCGGACCACCATAAATGGTCGTTACGCGGAGTCATTGCCGTCGCCAACACGAGTTTCGACCGAGTTTTTTTTTTCCCGCCACCCTCGCCGACGTTGCGGCGCGACAATACCCCGCGCGGCCGCGAAAACCAACGGGCTCGTCGAGCTACGGGCGACGGACGGCGTTACGACTGCACCAATCGAACCAGTGTTCAGTTCAGTGTTGCCATCCAACCCAAATTATCTCGTGGGCCACTTTGGAAATACATTACGATCCCGCGGGCCACATGTTAAATTATTTGAGTATTTTTCCCCGATGTAAAAAAAAATATAGAGTAAACCTTTTAAACAGGATTAATTATTGTAATAAAATAAGTATTGTTATATTAATTATTTGAAATAAACACAATGAATTATCATTGTTTTTATCACCGTACTCTGAATCCAATTCTTTCAGGAGCTCTTTAAACTGTCGCTGCGGAAGCGCATGTAATTGATTGCTACTGATTCCATAATATGACTATTATGGTTCGTCGACATTACTTGGGAACAAATATTTTGTCGATGAATCAAACAGTTTGTTGCGATTACAATGTTAATAATACACATTTCGCGTTGTGCAGGCATTTCATTTAGGCAGAATATTTTATTTTGGATAAAATAACTTTTTTTGGTAAATGTTTGATAGATATCGCGGGCTATAAACTTTCCAAGGTGGGCCACGGGTTGGCCATCCCTGGTTTGGCTACTGATATGTTTTTCGACTACCGGCCCGTTGATTGTATCGATTCGTGTTCAACGTCGGACTAGCCCGGCGATTTCGACCAGGAAAACTTCTAGCGACCGGGCCTCGTTATATCGTGCCCGTCTGATTGTATTTTTTTCTTCCTTTTTTTTCCATAGTATTAACACGATATTTACAGGAAAACTTCAACGCTTATTTATTAAGAACTCATACGTGTATAATATAAATTTTTTTGGTCGATTCAGATTCTATTACACATTGTGTACGAACGGAACAAAAAACGAGACAGATTATGAATGTACAATCACAATAGCACTTTCCTTGATATCTTAAAATATTAATACTTAAATAACATAACTCAAAAAACTTATTATGCTTAATGAGGCACACGATGTACATAAGTCATAGTAAATGATATTGTATTTTTAATGAGTTGTATATTTATTTTATTTATTGTTTTATTTTTTGCAAAATGTCTAGGCACTATGCAAAATGCCAATTTTTTTTTAGGCAAAGTAGATACAAAACATTTTATTATATGTTATATTACATTAAGATTCTTATTATTATTATACATTATTACTCATATTACAGATAAAATTTAATTTTTATATATTATTATATTATAACTATTATATACATATTTTACTTAAACTACTATTTACTTATTATATCATGTTGTAGAAAAGTGAAATTTTTAAGTGCACAAAATGTTATTTTTAAGGCAAATACACTTTTTATTTTTACACTTGGACTTACAAACACATTTTAAAAATCCTTGGTTAATTCCTGTTGATTGAACTTTTATCAACTCATTTTACTGTTCATTAGATAAAAAACTAGTATTATTGGTCTAATTTTTAAAAAAATTTTGTAGTTTGTCATAAAAATTTGACTTTATATAAATCGTATACATAGTTGCAACACCAAAACGAGACACGAAAATGACGAGAAAAATTACGATACTGCAATAAAATTATTAGTATGTTCAATATTATACCTCTGAATAATTATTATAGTAGTAAAAGAATATTAATCTTTATTATGTTAAATTGTGCACGCACATTTATCATAGACGATAATTATGGCCGTTGGTAATAGGCGATGCCAATTTTGTTTGTTTTCATCATATTGTTTACTCCACGTTTGGCATTATACATAATACCTAGGAAAAGCTCGTATTATGTATATTGCCGAGTGATTTTTGGCATTTAATATAGTACCTAGGCATTTTGCAAAATGCCGAATTATCCATATTGCCGGTAACATATATATGTTACCGTAAATGTTGACATTTAGGAAAGGATGACAATTCCTAGGAAATGATGACAATTCCTAGTAGCGGGAGGAAATTATATCATTGCCTAGTATATGTTATCATTTCCTTAAAATTCCAGGCAATGATGCCATATTTTTTCATACATGTGATACCATTTTTTTTTTAATTTGATTTAATTAGACTTAAAATAATTATTTTACTATATATAAATGTTAATTACTAATATTATAATAAAATAATAAAATAATATAATAAAATAGAGTAGTTTTTTTTAACTTTTTTTTTATCAATTTGATTTTTATAATTTCACAATTTTTATATTTTACATTTTATTTTTCGTAGTTACTCAGTTTTATTTTCACATGGCAAACCTCCATGACATTAGAATTACAAATTCTAGATGCCGATCTGCAAGCACACCTGTTCGTCTTGCATTTTGTTTTACATTGAGATTGCATATCAATTAGGTCTATTTGTGCACGTGAGTTGTATGCTGAATGAAAAATTGGTTTGGAAACAAGACCTCTTTTTGGGTTAGATGATTTTTTATGACAATCGGTACAAAGACTCAAAAAAATCATTATTATTTCTTTTGTTATATTACAATACTTTAATTTTATTTCAGCCATCATACGGTCGCGACCACCGTGACCGATAGCTATATGCGTAGAGTGAAGAATATCGAATAGCTCTTCGTTTTTAACGTAATAACGTATACCGTCATTATCATGGTTCATGGCCTTAATTAAGCGCTCTTTATCATTTATTAAAATAACATTGTACTTACGAATATTTCTATAATCTCTCTTGCATTTTTTTTTAATTTTGGATAGTTTTACATCTTCCATACGACGATCGTATTCCTCATTATTCATGAACGATTTGTTGTCATCATGCTTATCGCCAATTAGTAATAAAATTGCTTTATTAAATTCATTTCGCATTTTATTGAGATCCATTTTTAACAAACGCACTGAATGTGTAAATAACAAATACGTACTGTACTAAGAAGAACACACTACTAAAGGTGGTATATTGCATGTACAAGTTAGGGACACTTTTAATAAAATACATAAAGATTGCGATAAATATATGCGATATGCGATAGACATTTTTCACACAACCATTTTATCGACGGGTGACGATTACGGGTTTTAGTATGTCGCCGCTACGAGTTAGTTATCGTTCTAATAGTTATATTGTAAAGCCGATCCCACATGACTTGTAACATCATGAGTTCCAATGCTTTCGTGTAAGAAAGTAATGAGTGATAACATTACCTAATAAACTACGGAAATTATGACGATTCCTAGGCAATAATATCATTTCCTTCCGCTACTAGGCATTGTCATCATTTCCTAGGAATTGTCATCCTTTCCTAAAATGTCAACATTTCCGGTAACATAGGTATATATTATTGAAAATTTAATTAATAATTAATTTGTTATTATTTAAGAATATTACACACTAAACAACCATTTTTTTTAATTTTACAGAGGTTTATCAAATACAATAATATATTAAAACATAAATGTAGTGTTTATTATACTTTTTCATATTTACCAATTGTAATGTATTCTTTTTGTCGACTCCTTTTTGATTCAATAGTTATATTTTATAAATTATAAATATACTACTGATTATTGATATTGGTGAATATTTTTATTTAATCATTTCTCTACGTCCAAACTTTCTGTTACCCTACGACAAGATGCTTTTTTTTAGTTTTGAACTTCCAAAATTAATTATACTGTGTCAAACATAGGCAATTGATTAGTTATTATTGTTAGAAAAAGTTAATTTTCAATTTGACTAAAATAATTTTCTTTCAAATTAATAAAAAAAAAATAAAGATTAATTTGTATTTTGATATGCTTTAAAAATGTTTTTTTTTAAATATCAAACATATTGTAGATTTTTTTTTTATCATTTTTATCACAAAATAGTATATACTTACATTATCTACCACCAATTATAAAGGAACTACACAGTACACATAATATTACTGAAATGATAGGTATAGGGCCTATACCTATACTATAGGGAACAATTATTAAAATAAAATATTTTTATAATGTAACAGAATCAGGCAGTCACATAATAACCTCGGCTTATCGGGAAATTTCTCAACATCCCGGTAGTCTAGTGTCTAGACTAGACTCTAGTCCAAGCCTAATCTTATCGCCGTATCGATATAATTTACATAACTAAAAACAATTCAATACTAAATACAACATTTACTGATTTTTTTGTAATTATTTTTATTAAAAAAAAAAACTTTTCATGTTATAGGAAATAGGAATAGTAACGAATTGATATCGATTTTCGATATCAGAATACTTTCGATGAATTAGTTACATCTATATTAATAAAATCAAAAAAAGTATAATTTACAAAATTCGATAGTAATTAACTCTTAAAACGATATAGATTATACACAAATGCGCAGTTTTCTGGTAATGTTGTTGAGTAAAATATATTTTAAACTTTTAAGTATCATAATTAAAAATGTAACGCCAGCCAGATCAAAATAGCACATAAATTTCCAATTCCTACCATTAGCATATAGTACCACTTATATACCACCGTTCATTCAATATCAATGACAATACAGTAATATATTTGTATATTTTATACACATACTCATACCCTCCAGTTTTCTACCCACTTGTTTCTTCCACCCGTTTACATGCGAGTGCTAAGCGATC